CTACAAAAAGAATAACATCTTGAAGTATGTTCTTGTTTAAATAATCAAAAAAGAAATCAAAACTAATTATAAAATAAGTCTTCTTCAATTGTATAATAAACTAGAGTGAACCACCTAATTTTTTACCATTGTCACATAAAATATATCAAAGGTTGATATATAGATATGATACATCTGATACGGGTTGTATTGTATTGGTATTGGTATTAGTGTTTAGGGATACGTTAGACTAGAGATGTATCTTGCTAGTCATGTGTATTAGGCCGATACGGGTGTGTATCGGTTCATATTTGCACAGTAACGCTAGATGCATATCGATACAGACCGATATAGAACGATATGCTTAATGTCTGTATCGCATGAGCAAATTCTTCTACTGAAAAAGAAAATTGTAAAGATTCAAACACACATCAAGAGCTAAGGGAGAATTTTACATCTGCACTTGTAAGCCACTATGCCACTCCATCTTTTGTGCTGATGAGTAAATGAATACAAATTTTATTTCTTTATTACTTAAATACAATTCAAATAAATAAAACATATTACGGTTAACACCAACTAAAAATTGAAAAAGTAATACTTAAAATCAGTATTTTATAAAATAATAGAAATAAATAATATATCAAATCCACATTTAAATCAAAATATTATTTGAATCTCAAAGTACTTAAAATTAATAAATTTTCACATGACATATATATATTAATTTACATTACATAAAATCATATTTATTATATAAAAAATAAAAACATTGTTTACAAAATATTCAACAATATAATCATAAAATTGAATCCATCCAATCTACTAATCTACATTTATATAAGTCAACTTCTATGGTAATCCACTATGTCACTAATGAAATTTTAGAAGTAGCTTAACTCCCTGAAATTTGAAGCTGTATATAATTATCAAAAATGGAGAAGTACCAAAAAATAGCGGTAGAAAAAGAATAACATCTTGAAGTACGTTTTTGTTTAAATAACCAAAGAACAAAACCAAAACTAATTATAAAATGTCTTCTTCAATCATGTAATAAATTAGAGTGAACCATCTAACTTTCGATGTTTATCACCTAAAATCAAGGGTTAAAATATCGATATGATACGTCTGATACGGGGTGTATTGTATCAGTATCATTATTGTCTGGGGATACGCTAAACTAGAAATGTATCTTGCCAGTCATGCGTATTGGATTGATACGGGTGTGTATTGGTCCGTATCCACATAGTATCGGTCGATACGTATCGATATGGACCGATATAGAACGATTCACTTACGTCTGTATCGCATGTGCATATTCTTTTTCTAAAAAAGAAAATTGCAAGGATTCAAACCCATGTCAAGAGCAAAGGGAGAATTTAATGTCTGCGCTCGTAAGCCACTATGCCATTCCATCTTTTGCGTTTATGAGTAAATGAATACAAGTTTTGTTTTGTTATTACTTAAATGCAATTCAAATAAATAATATATATTATGGTTAACTCCAACTAAAAATTAAAAAAGTAATACTTAAAATCAGTATTTCATAAAATAATAGAAATAAAAAAATATATCAAATCCACATTTATATCCAAATATTATTTCAATCTCAAAAAACTATAAAAATATAATATTATAAGAGAATAATTATCTTAGTACGTAAAATTTATAAATTTGCACATGATATATATATATATATTAACTTACATTACATAAAATCACATTTATAAAAATCATTTTAAAAGTAAAAAATTTAAGTGGTTATACTAAAAAGATTTTTAATTAGAAAATTATAGGAATATAAATATAATAATGGAACAATCATTTTAAAAGTAAAAAATTATGAATTTGCATATGATATGTATCTTAGAAATTTTAATAGATTTGATATATTTTAAGTTGAGATTATACATTTTATAAATTATTAATGAATATTTTGATTTACATAGAGAATTTAATATTTTGTTGGCCTCTTTGTTAATGTAAAAGAGTAAAAATAGTAAATTCAAAAATAACTGATATAATAATTAAAATATAATAGGAAAATATGTTTTGCATTTTGGACTCTTGATTAAAATATTAATTGTAATATATTTGGTTGACCACTATGCATCATATTAAATTTAATGTTATTAATAAATTATGAAAATTTATCCATATCAATCCTTAAAAGCCTAGGTCATGGTAGGGTTTCTTGGAAGACAAAAGAGAACAAGAGAGAGTGGTCTCCTAATCTGGTTTCCCTTCTACTTCTTTTATCTCCTTATGGAGCACTTTCCTAATCAAATTAGGAGATTATCCAAATCTAATTTGGATCTAGAGTCTATTAAGAGATAAGCCTTATCCTCTTAAGAAGATGGGTGCTCCATACTCATTTCTAAACCTAGATTTGACCCAGAGGAAAAAGTTGTCATGTGGCAGCTTACTTAATCTTTATTAATTATGGACCTTAGGTCTATTTCCTTTAAAGGCTCACGATCCAAGATATTGCATGGCCAACTTAGCTCTAATTTGTATAGCGTGAGACCCCACAATGACTTCACATAAGTCCACATGAGTTCAGTCCAACCTCTATGAAAAGGCTTAGCCGAATTTACTACTAAACGCAATGAACCGCTGAGCACATCACTATGGGCTCAATATGGGCCCAACATTTAAACGTAAATGATCATTGAATTCAGCCATTATATGAAGATACAAGGATAATGAGCTTTAGTAAGATAATGCCCATCAGGTAATTGATGAGAATGAAAATTATCATATCTTTATCCCTTAATATTCAGTCTTTTATACTTATTTAGTGCCTAATTGGACTCACTATTCTTATATTTCGATTAAAGGCACGAAAGGAGGCGTTAGGTAAAAAAACAAGGCTAATCGGGTAATTTTGCACAGTTTCGGTGCCGCGTGGTAATTTGGGCATAACTTTCCCATACGGACTTCAATTGAGATGATTCAAGATGCATTATAAAGATAAGGAAAAACTATACAACTTTCATGTTTTGAGTTTTGATAGATTCGGACCACATCGAGGTCACAATCGGGCCGACGTCTCTGCAAATTCGTAGAGAAACCCAATTCGTAGAGAGCCCCAGATTGCAGCAAAGCCCAATTCGTAGAGAAGCTCCAGTTCGCTGCAAAAATCCAGCCCAATTCAGCATGCAGTAGTAGGGCCCACTCATCATTCCTAATAGAATTCGGCTAAGAGTCTTAATCAGATCTGATTTTTATTGTAATCTTAAAGAAAGAAAAGAGTTAGATTCCAACCTAGTTAAGAGTTTCTATTTAGAGATAAGGATAAGATTAGATCTGAATTAAGCCTTATCTCATTAGGAGATAAGACTTTCTATTTTTGAGAAGGAACTCCTAAGAGGAGTTGAAAGCAGCTCCTCCCCCTAAGGCTATAAAAAGGGGGGCGGACTAGCAAGGAGGAATCATCAAATCTTGGAAACAAGAATTCAGCAAGAAGGAAGAAAAGAAGCAGAATACGCCCCCCTCATCTGGAAGCTGCGATTTCTACATGAAGTGTGTGTAAGCTTTTGATTTCTGGTTGAAAGGTTAGGGAAGCTTTGATTCTTAAACATTGTGAGATCTAATTTTTTTTTATTTCAGTTCATTGTTTATGGGTATTCATATGTTTTTTGCGATTTCCTATGAGGATTATTTTTATTGATTAAGCAAGAAGGATCCCTTGCTCATTCAATGAGAATAATCTATGGCCGATTGAACCTCCAATATTGTATATGATTGGTAGGTTTAATCATGGTGGCAACTAACATAAATTGATTATGGACAAGTTTTTGATTTATGTTAGGAGAAAATAGGATCTGGTTTAAACGGTCYGAGCTTATGAGATCGCTGACCAAAATTGGGTCTCTCCCCTCTTAA